CCTTTCCACTCTGCCCCAGCCAAAACTCAAGGGGCAAAAATATCTGGATTTGAGGGCCAAAATACAAAAAGAGTCCCAAGAGAAAATTTTGTTGTCTGGAGGAATAGTATGAGGATCCTCACCTACCAAAGCTTGATTTACTGCTAGAATTAATTTTTAAAAAAAAATAGGAGAGAAGTTACATATATGACAGCACAGTATCTAAAAGTGCCAACAAAAAGTCTTGAATATTTTAGCTGCTAAATAAATGTTAGTTGCTCTAGAAATATTATAAAGTATCTGATTCATTCATATCCAGTGATTCACTTGTTACAGTTTTTTTTTTTACTTGTTATAGTTTTTAAATCAGTGCTAAATTACCTGGTCTCTTTTATGTAGATGTAAGAGCTGGGGAGAGTTAAGTATGGGAAGAACAGGAGCATGGATATACATATACCATCCCCCAAAGTTCAGATTATTAGAATAAAAATGCATAATGGAAATTAATTTTCTCTTAAAAAATATATGTTCTCTCACCAGTGGGCCATTTTCTATGTTTATTCACAGCAATTTACTGACAGAAAAATATACAAAGCTTTAAAAAATGTGTTTTGGACAGATAATGATTTTAAAAGCAGGAAAAATATATCTAGTCATTGAAGAGGTATATACTTGCAAAAAAAAGTAAATTAACATTTTAAGACAATTTTTCATCAAAATGAGTTTTACTTCTAAAACATGCTGAGCAATATGCCCTCTGGATACTTAATATAAATTCATTTGAAAGGCATCTTAGATCTTTGTACCCAGTGATCAATCGCTTTGTCTTTATTTTTATTTTAGAAAGCCAAAAAGAGACGATAATTCCTCTGAATAATACAGACCAATATTCAGCTATTTGCTGGAATTTCATAGCTTTGTGTGAGAATAAATATACATTCATATTAGTTCTTTATTTTAATCCTTCATCTGGGCAACAAAGGTTTGATCAGTTACTAGCTTTTTGTGTAATGCAATATGCATAGCGAAAATCTTTTACCTAACTATGACTATTACATTAGCAACAGATTGAGAATCTGTGTGACTGGCATCTATAGGAATTAATCAACTTATTGTTTTAATTATTTATAGTAGATTTTGGCTTAGGTCAAATTCAATTTAATGTTTAATATGAAATTATCAGCATATTTGTATTTTATATGCAAACACATACACTAATATTGAGAATAAGGTGAAATCAACATGCTATTAAAATGATATTTTGGCCACAGTACTCAGGAATGCCTAAATCCTCCTCTAGAAAAATATCTCTCAGAATTTTCTGGGAAGAGATAAATGAAGATGACAATGACCAGTTAAACAAAATAATATTTTATTACAAATTAAGTCTCTGCTGCTCCAAAAACCATTGACAAAGTCTAGTAAATTGTGCTGGGATTTAATGGAACTCGTGCCTGAGCTAGATAAATGAGTAGCTGTCATCTTACTGAGTGCAGACCTGACATTTAGAAATGATCACCCTTATAAAACAAAAAGCTATAACTGCAAGCTCAGGAAAACATGAAGACAAGCAAGCAAAAAAGAGTTTTTGCTCCATTGGTCCAGCACTGGGTTGGCCTAGACCAACTGCTGCAGACCTTCCCAACATCAGGGTAGAGTCTCCTGCTATTCAGGAGAATGGGAGAGACAGTGTGTGTGTGTGTGTGTGTGTGTGTGTGTGTGAGAGAGAGAGAGAGAGACAGACAGACAGACAGACAGACAGAGAGACAGACAGAGAGACAGACAGACAGACAGACAGACAGAGAGATTTGGTACCTTTACCACTTTCTACATGTGGATGGAAGAGAATTAAGAAAAGCAAAAATCGAAGTCCCCTTGGAAGCTCCACCTGCAGGAAATTCAGCATGTCAGAAGTCAGTTTCCAAGCAGTTTGGCCCTATCTCCCTGGGTGGAGGGAGAAGGTGGGGGAGGGCAGGACTGTTGACCATTAGTCCTATTTGGTCACGGAAAAGAGGCAGAGAAGAACCTAGAGCAGCCCCAAGGCTGATATCTGTCCCACAGAGAAGTTCATGAATCAGTAAGATTTTTTGGTTTTCACAAAATATTTTTTCACTCTTGTAATTTTTATTTCTTTAGACTCATGAGATATAATTTAAAAAACAAAACCTTTTTTCCAGCATTAGAAATCTCATCTTAAGGAGGATACACTCAAATTTCACTCATCCACTCAATACTCACTGAGAACAACATTTAGTTGTTTGAGAGGTAAAAAGAGGGATCAAGATGATTCTTCCCTTGCATTTTAGTAGACATTGTCAGAAATAACTAGAATATAAACTATATAGTAAAAAGTGCCATAAAATATGTCCAGCTCAAGGACACTGAAAGTTTAGAGAAAATAATGATTTTTTTAAAGCAACAGATTTCACTATGATTTTTATGAAGTAGTGTTATGGGTTTTGGAGTGACTGTTTAAAAATGTCAAACAGAACTCATGGAATATGTCTTTTGAAGAGGGACAAAAAGGAGATAAGAAATATATGCCTGAATGATTCAAATATTGACGCACCTGCTCCAAAGCTCCAAAACAAATTAGAAATTTTGTTTCATGATTGCAATTAGTCTTTAAAAAGATGGACATCCATTAACAGGGTTTAATAGTATAATGACAAAACAGTTATAATTGTTCTATTCTGGAAAGAAATAAAAATTGAAAGCAGACGGCTACTAAAGGAATTGAAAAATAAGCTTACTAACTTAATTTTTGAAATCTGGTAGAGAAGATGCATTTTAGGAATCTTCTGCTTTATATGTATAAAGGACTTGAAGAAAATGAATTTCTTTCTTGCTTTGTTCTTTGCTTCTTTCTAGTTAGCTCCGCCCTACCCTTCTTTTATCCTCCTCATCCCACAGAATCCTAGCTTAACCATTTACATTTCTACTGTAATAGAATATAAAATATTAGGATACTTTCAAGAACCTGGAAGCTGAGAAAAATTCCCTACAAGATGAAATTAATTATAATAATTTGAGAGATTTAAATAATGAGTTGAAGGTTGCAAAAGACAGATATCAGACCATTATAAGGAAGAACTTCCTAAAGGTTTGGATGGATTAAAAATACTTTACTCAGGTGTTTCTAATACTTTGATTTACTCAAATGAGAACTGGAAAATCCATTATTGGATGTTGTAGCGTTGATATACACACACTCACTAGGGTTGGTGAGGAGCTGGACTAGTTGATATGTAAGTTTTCTTCATGTACTGAATGACCTTCTATCACTGAAATTATTTTCTAACAAAGGGGTTATTTGCATTATGCTCCTTTCCCAGAAAATTGTAGCACCTACATAATTTAACCCCCAAAACAGTTTTGAACTGAGCCATCCCAATAATCATGAACCTGCACACATGTGCCATACAGGGGGAGAATGAACTTGGAACACAAATTAGATGTGAGATGCTAAGTTGCATAAGCACATACAATTCATGCCTATTATCTCCAGTATATTGTATAAGAATTAGATATTTCAGAAGGTTGGATGTAACTTTAAGTTTTAGGATGGGAGCTTGGTATAGTTCTGTTGAGTTAAATGGAATGTGGCCAGCAGCCAGGCATCTTTGGTGCCTATATGCAAAATTCCCACAAATATAGCCTAATTGCTGATGAAAAATCTATGCATATTCTTCAATATGGTATGTCTTCTAGTGGGCTAGGGCCTGGGAGAGAATGGCTCAGATCTCTGGGCAGTATAGAAGATGCAAGGAAGTATTACAAGAGCAAGTGAGGAGATATACTTGAAATTATAGCAGTGCCTTTATTGAACATGCCATTATGGATCACCACTCATGACTGCTAGAGCTGCCACCACGGCAGTGAGCAGACAGACTCAATTTCAGGTTTGATGTTATTCAGTTAATAGGCCTCCTTCTAATCAGTTCCTCTCTGGCATAGACAAATATCACCAACTTTGGCCACACTGCCCAAATAATCTATATCTCTTAAGATTAGAACATCAGATTGCAACCTCAACATAGGCTATCTCTTTGGAATAGTGTTATATTAATATGTATCTTGAGACCCTTACCAGTAAGCCTAGCTGTTCTTCCTTATAGCTAAGTATAGCACCCCATGTATGAGTCCCATGATATCCTTGTCAGAATGTTTTTGCCTGCAAGTAACAGAAAACTTAATCAAACTAACTTAAGCAATAAAACAATTTGTTGGCTACCCTGACTTCTCAATTTCTCATGCCCTTGTAACTTCTTTAAATTTCCAACACTGTTGTTCTAATTAAAATTTATAATATATTTCACCTAAACTTTTGCAGTTGTATCCTACCTGGTAATTCTGCTACTCATTAATGGTTTTCTACAATAGCCATCTGTCTATCCATTCAAGATTTTGAGTGCCTACTATGCTATTTTGGGGAGAAAACACATCATTGAATAAGTTATTTCACAGTCCTTAAATTTAAGGAGTTGTGTTCGTGAGGAGAGGCTAGGCTATGGTACAACATCAAGTGAAATCTCAGAGGCTGATAACACAGGTCCACTCTCTCTAACATCTTCTATAGGATGACTGTGGCTCTGCTCCATACCATATTCACTGTAGGACCAAGATTGTTAGAGTAGCCTCAATGTGGAAATTTGCCCACAGGTGTGGTACAAGGAAAGAAGTATGACAAAGCGTAAACTGTTTCTCAAAATTTCTGCCTGTAAGTGACCTGTATCACACTCATTTATATTTAACTGGTCAAACAAGTTGGTTGACATGTCTAACTTTAAGGAGTAGAGGAAACATACACCTCTTCCAGGAAGGCACATGGATATTGGTAATGAGGCAGGAGAATGGCTTGAGCTCAGGAATTTGAGACCAGCCTGAGCAACAATGAGGCCCCATCTCTACTAAAATAGCAAAATTTAGCCAGGCATGGTGGTGTGCACCTGTAGTCTTAGCTACTTGGGAGGCAGAAGGATCACTTGAGCCCAGGAGTTTGAGGTTGCTGTGAGCTAGGCTGACATCATGGCACTCTAGTCTAGGCAACAGAGTGAGACTCTGTCTCAAGAGAAAAAAAAAGAGTAATGCAATCAACCATGTGACCTTAAAATATAGAGCAGTGGTCAGCAAACTACAGCCTGCTGTATGTTTTTGTAAATAAAGTTTTATCAGAACACAGTCACATCCATACACTTTACATTTTATCTATGGCTGTTTTTGTGCTACTATGGCAGAGGTGAGTAGTGGTGACAGAGAACATACGGCCTACAAAGCCTAAAATATTTACTGTTTGGTCCTTTACAAAAAATGCTTTCCTATCCTGATTTAGAAAGGTGAAAAGATTATATACATAAAATGAACTATAATATTTAATTATGCATTTTCGGTGTTTACTAGCACTTTTAGCAACAACGGTGATTGCGTTTTTTCTATACAGATTGCATTAGGATACAATACATATTTTTGACAAAATATTGGTTTCTGGTGATGAACAATCTTCTGGTAGCTTCAAGATTCCATCCAGCATTTTTAAGTTTGGCAAACAGGAGAATACTCTAAAGCAAAAGTTAAAAAAAAAACAGTAACTATATTGCACAAAAGCATTTTATTTCACTTACTCTCTTTATAAATAAATGGATGTTCTCTATTGTTACAAAAGACAAATGGCTATCACTTTATTCTGTTTTCCTTATCTTTGCAGTGGAGTTAAAATAGAATATCATTCATGTTCATTGCGCTGATGATCCTGCCATAGCTTGCCCTCTCAGGGATCTAATAGATCTTTCAGCAAATGGTTAAATATTGATCAGAGAGGTAGGACTAAATACAATCTGTTTTTATAAGAGAATTCCATTCCAGCTCTTACAAAGTTCTATAAAGCAAAAAAAAATCAATAAGTGGATTTAGCTGAAAAACCATGAGAGAAAGAATGAGATCATGATATATGTGCTCATTATACAGCTAAAAGTTTAGAAAAATAGAGAGAAAAAGTAAAGCAAGTCTGTTGTTAATGAGAGTTAAGGAAGAATTGTGGCTGGGAAATATAAAAGAGAGGGTGGGAAATAATATTGTGCTGAGTTATTTTCTCTTGGCACAGAGGACTTTTGAAGCTCATATTTCAAATTTAGAGAGTCACTTCCATGTTCAGGAAGAGATCCTTCAGGTCAATCCAGTTAAACAGTGCCCATATACACAGCAGAGCTATAAAGCAGCATTTTCTTTCAAATGGACTTCTTTTTAGATCTGGGGGCCCAGGCCAGAGGAAATGTGTGGCATCTGAATTTGACCAGATGAAAGATACTGAAACCTCTCACCAGGTGTGCTAAGTCAATTAAAATGATAATGATGACCTCCTTGAAAGCTCCCATTGGCTGCATGATTTTCCTACCATTAAATGCTTTCTGTGAATTATCTCTTTTAATCTTCACAATAACCCTGTCAGGTTGGGTTTTTATCACTTTAAATAACTTTAAATAACTTGTCCTAGATCATAAAGTCTGTAGCTAACAGAGCAAAGATTAAAATCTAAGTTCTGGTGTCAATGTTCAGACTGCGCTGTCAGGAACTCCTAAGCACTGCTTATTTTTAAAAAGTCAAGCTGCAGTGAACTACTATCACACTGACTCCTGAAGAATGGTAGAGAAGTTTGCCTGTAGGTGTCCCAGGAATAGAGCCACCTTCTACCTAATGGGACTTACACTATTAGCTCTATCATTAAGTCCTTTCTCTTTTGAATTGTGCTGTCTTCTTATTGGAGGATCTGAAACAGAGGAGGAAGGGAAAGACAGTCACAATTTTAGGTGGCAATGATCAAGAAAAGCTTATACTTAAAATAATTTTGAGCATGGTGCAAAGAGTCAGTTGAAGGTCTGGCTCAAATTCTCAACTCAGATACACAGTGACAAAATGAATGCTGTTATAATCTTCAAAGTATGGATTTGGCTGGGTAACTAAACCCGAATTTGGATGAACTTCAAATTTCAGCTTAGTTCCTTAGCATGAGTGAATGGTTAAATCCTTTCCTCATACTTTAAAATGACCACATCATTTTGTTCAAAGCAACAGAATGCACTACCTAGGTCAATATAACCTGGCTTTTCATGGCTTGGAAGTCAGAACATATCCACCTTGGACCCAATCCAATAGAGTTAATACTAGAAAAATAGAAGAACTTCATTATACCCCTTATTCCCACGTAACTCTATACCACATCATGAATTTTAAAGACAGAATTATAGTAAGACCTCAGGGCATATCAGATTTCGGACAATTAATCTTAATACTATTGTTGTAAGGCATTATTTGAAAGGAGGCAAGTGACTTGTGTTGGGACCAAAATGTTTTATAAAATCCCACATATAAATTAACAAAACTGAAATATAATACTATTAAATTATTCTCATGACTAGGAATGTGCTTTCTCATGAATGATGTTGAAATGTCCAGCTAAACCTCCTCTGACTGTAGAAAATATAATTTTAAACTTCAAAACATTATTATGGTTAAATATTAGTTCAATATTATAGCAACTGTGCTCTTAGTTTTCACTGTTATGTAAAAGCGGTTTGAGAATTTATTATCACACACATGAAATTTTGCTTTCAGACTATAGTCATAGGGGAGAAAACTGCAGTAATGAAATTTATGTAACGACAGAGATTAGAATTTTATTTTGACATTTTTTTATTATATAGATCAGGAGCTAAAGAATCTAACATTATATAGGCCTTTGGAATATATTATAGTTGCCATCATGGGAAAATGGCAGTGTGAAAAAGGAAAATGTGAGAACTATGTTTTCTACTGAAATAGATGTAGATAAAGAAATATAATCATAAGAATAGACCCTAGAGATGATTTAACCTTTTGTATGACAGATTTGACTGAGAGGTAAGATGACCTGCAGTCATATAGGGGCAAATATAGGTCGTAGAATTTAATTTCTAGTCTTTATCCTTTTAATTCCCATAAGTACACTAAGAGTGGTACTGGGAATTAGATTAGCTAGAGATAAAATGGTGGGCATATTATTTGGTGTACATTCTAAGGTTGTTTAGACTCCATTATTATTAGTAGTAATATTCTTAATAGTGACAAAGTAATAAAAAATGGTTTCTTCTTGGCAGGTTTTTGAGTTCTTTCAATCACTGGAGTAGATTTTTGAATCAATTACTTTTTTTGTAATCATCTAATGGTGCCCTTGGGGCCCAAGGGAGTGAAAATAAAACCAGGCAATAAACAATTTATAAGATCGTGAGATAGAACCTGATAGGAATCTATATTTAGAAAAATTTTTAAAAGACATAGTACCTGTTATGCATGTGGGAGAAAATGTATGGAATTTGAAAGTCTAAAATTAAACATCTCTGTATGTGTGAAGTCACATACATTATAAGAGAAGCCTACAATCTATGCAGAAACTATAAATTAACCAAGAGAGAAAAGTGTATTAAAGATTAAAAAAATACAAAGAAAAATTGGTTCAAAATTCTTTAGGTGAGATTAGAAACATAGCATATTCAACACATAGTAGATACTATAAAATATTTGCTAAATGGATTTAAGCAAGAAGCGAACAATATTTTAAAATACACTTATAAATATAATACTCAGTGAATTGGAAAAGGTGACTTAAGGCATTTGGGGCCTTACCTTTTCCTGTAATTTTGGTGAAACTCACAGGGGTTCCTCTTGAGTATGAGAGATTCCAATGGAGTGCACCGTAAACTGGAGAGTCCAGTCAGAGTCTCAATGTGGTTTTCAGCCAAGGATAAATGCTGTATCTGAGGTATCTTTGGCAATTGTTTGAAAGATGTGAGATGGTTTCTGTTCATATTTAGAGTTCTGCAGCTGGATACAAAATGTAAATATCTTGTTACTCGTCTCATAAAGAAGATGGTTAACCATCAACTCTTGCATAGGGCTAGCAGACCCACCCAGACTATAACCCTTTAAGAGAGTAATAATGATGTTTTCTACAAATGGGGTTTCCAAAAGAGAGAGAGAGAAAGAGACAAAATGTTTATATTAAAATATTAAGAGAAAATAAGCAGGATGCACGAGCCCATAAGCTTGCTGAGTGCAGGAATCTGTTTTGTTTTTTTTTCCAACGAATATGCTTGGAACCTGGCACAGTATTTGTCCTATGGTGGATTCTCAATACATCTTGAATGAAAGGGTGAATAACTACATATTAATCTCAGCAATGTAAAAATGTACAGGTACAAAAAAATAACTTGTGATACTGCCTCTAAGTAGCAAAATTATAGTTGTTTTTCTTTTACATTTCCATACTTTAAAAAATTCTATACTGAGAAAATAGCATTTTAAATCAGAAAAAAAAGCTTTATTTTATATACAAGGAAATCAGAATGTACCCGTAGGAGAAGAAAAGTGTGTTTGGCTCTTAAATTCAATACCTTTTCCTGATAGATAATGCTTCTCGATATTTTTGCCTTAAAACCATAATTGTATCAGACTGTACAAATAGAGAATATAATTCCAAATCCATCATTGACACCTTGCCTTAAGGAAAAATTCTTTTATGTATAAGTTAGAATTTAATATCATGAAAGAAACACAGAGTACTTATTCATGAGCTTTGGGCCTTACAAAGACACTTGGTAAATGATAATTGCTAATGGTAAATATGCCGCTACAGAGAGAGCTGCAACACCAGAGACATTAGAAAAACAAATTCGGTTTGAACCTGCCTATATTTCATTGTAATTTTTTACATCTATTTTTATTTCCCTGTTTCCTTTCAGTCCCTCTCCATATGTATATTTTATACAGTCCAATCATATCCTTGATAACTTTTGACTTCTGCTCATTTCCACTATTTACATAGTCTTCAGGAACACTTTAGTAATATAATAGTTTCTAACTGAAACACCAGCCCACACAGTTCCTTCCCCTCTGCCCTCCTCTCCATTCTCTTAAATCTGTGCTTTCCTCATCTATCACTCATGCCTCAATTTTCAACGTATATCCTGTTATCCTCTCAGTCTCTCAGATTCACCCCATCCCAGATTGCCCCAGTCAGTAGGATATGTCCAGGGAGAAGGGTGGTGAATCCAGTGGGCAGTGACACAATTTTCTCTCAGGCAGAATGAAGGAGACCAGGAATATACATGCACCAAATCTTTTTTCTTCCTTGATAAATTGATTTGGCAGTTGTAAAGTTTGAATTGCAATTGAATAATTTTATATTATAAATCTTATTTCTCAAGAAAAGAAAAACCAAGAGAATGCATCTAGATAATCTTGAGACTAAGTCAAGTCTTTTGGTGATTGTGTTTGTTTTTTTTCATAATATAATAAAGATTTGAAAAGTTTATTGATCTCAGGTCAAATTCCAGTACTCCAAGTAAATGATCTTCTAGTTCAATGTTTCTAAAGTATGCTATGAACATATGTGATCATTAAAATATTTTTGTGTATGTTTATTTAAATGTATGTTAGAAAATATATCAAATGTATCACTATTACATCCCTAGCACCTAGAAGAGAATCTAGCCAAAAAAAATTTTAGTGAAGTTTCTTTTGAAAAATTTTATTTAGATTTTTAAAATTAGTTATTTCAAAAAGCCAAAGTAAATTCAAATGCTATGTGAGGGTGTCAAAAGTTTCAAAGGGGCTTTGAAAAGGACTGAAGGTGGGGACACTCAGATGCATTACATATCTTGGCACTTCCTCTGGCTGCCAGACAGTTTCCCTCTTGTGGGCAGCTGTGATGGTCTCTTTCTGTGGCCTCATCTCAGCCTAGGTTCAGAGATGTACCTTAACCTACTCTACAAATTACCCTTCTTTTTTGTGGATGCTTGATTTCCTTTATATCCTAATTCTTTCTTCTGTTTTCTCCTTTCATTGTTATGAAAGCTCACTCTACCCACCCATTCATTCTGCCTAGTAAAGTAGATAGCAGCTTTCTACAAAAAGGGTTCTCAAGCAATCCTGAGCAAGGAAACATATTATTTTTAACAACAGGAGTTTGGTATCCTTGGGAGACCAAAGGGTCTATAATAAAAATTTTAAAATTTTTAATTTATTTAAATTAGTTATTTTAAAAAGCCAAAGTAATCACTAATCTGATTGCCAAAACTCTACCCCTACATTTAAATGTAACCCTGACAAGCCAACTCTTGTCAACCACCTTGTAGAGTCTTTTCCCACAGGTGTTCAATAAACTTGACTAATTAAGAATTACTATCTTACAACCATAATAGAAAAGATACAACCATGTATCTTACAACTTACATGCATATGTAATATAACTGAATTTTCTAGTTTATAACACAAGGAAAATGGCAAACATTTTGCTCAGATGGATCTATGATTACAAATTACTCCCCTAAAATTGGTATAATTTCGAAAGCAATAGATTTTTTCCCTGTAAGTATGACATTTTAATATATGTTTCTCTTTTTTGCCTTGCCATATGTGCCACTTTAGTACAAAGCATCAGCTTTAAGACCTGACTACACAAGGTAAGGCACAATATGTATAAACAATGATCACATGTATCCAAATACCAAAGACTTAACTTTAACCCAGTAATGAGACATGCTAGGAAGCAAGTACCTTGGCAATCTTATGGCACTTAAATCCACCAGGGAATTGTCCACTAACCAGAGGTTCTCAACTCGAATTAGTCTTCTAAGAATTCTGTTAAAATTTTCAACTTGATAAGGGTCCCCCAAGTCCTGAAATGAAATGTTCAAATTCTGAAGTAAAAACAAACAAAAAGAAAAAGTAAATTTTTATTGACTTTTGAAAGTGGTTATTAACTGAAATGTGTTGTATATATTATTCAAACCAGTAGTTTTCATCTCTTTTTTTGTCCTCCAGAATACTCATACATTCAAACATTCATAATTATCTTGCAATGATTCTCAAGGTGGGGAGGGTGAAGATCTTGATCAGCATTACTGAGTAGAATGTAAGGTTTTTGAGTGTTGGAGGGTAAATGAACAGGATTGTCAAAGAAGAATCTTCTCAAGGAGAATAGGATTCTCAAACAGATTCTGAAATTATCTAGGGGCACAGAATGGAGAGGGTAAAGTGTTTGAAAATAACTGAATAATCAGTTGTCATTAGCCTCACTTGGAAATATTCAGCAATTGCATTTATAAAAATTTAGAGTAAGATAACATCACTAAGAAGATGAAAAGTGAAGATAGCTGAATAGACCCAGGTTATATGTGCCTTCTCCATGGAGAGGAAGCAGAATAGTAAGCAGATAGTAAGCACATTTTGAACAGACTGTCTCGGGAAGAATGCTAGGATTCATCAGAGAACTGACAGAAAGCACAAAAAGTAAGTTGTGTCACTGTAAGGAGAGGGTTCGAAGCAGTGAGCACCTGAAGAAGCTACTGGACATGAGGAAACAGTAAGAGAGAAAATTTCAAGGCCCCACACTCTGAAACACATTCTACTATCTTAGCTACATGAAAATACCTCAATCCTTGCAGGCCTCGGTCTTGACACGGGGAGCTACTTAGGGATTGCACAAGAATATTGTTCCAGAAAGGGAACCCACATGGAATCCCACAGTCGTCTGAGCCTACAGCAGCTTCAGCTGGGTGCCATTCTGAGAGACCAGCAACCAGGGATCTACAGATGTGGCGGCTGCTGCTGCACTACTTCAAAGAGGGAGAGAGAAGACCAGGTGCTCCCACACACCCCTGGGAAGGTACCCACCACCTTGATGCAGGCTGCTGTTAAGACTGAAATATGAAAGGATCACACTCCCCGCAGCTTCTTACCCATGCTGCTTGCCTAGGAGGGGCCCCACCCTCTCTGGTAGCAGGGCCAAGGCACCATTTTGAGAGTTTAATGTTGGGTTGCATCCTGCCCTCAGGCCAAGTGTGAGCTGATGCAGCTGCAGTTACCACCCAGCTAGGGAAGACAGAGGAGACAAAGCTCTCCTACACACCCTTAGGACAATATCCACTGCCCTGCTATGGGTAGCTATGGGACTGTAACTAGCCTGCCCAACCTATTGAAGCTACCAACAATACCAACATGGACCACTAGTGTCCCACTGGGAGGCTCCACCACCACTACTTTCACCACCCACATCATACCAGCTGCCCAGGGGCCCGAGAACCTGCCCACACACTCATCCCATTGCTCCCACTACTAGCTTCTGAGCAAGCCACATGGAGACTCAAGAATTAGCCCTCCAGGAGCCACTAACACATGATATGATCCTTTCATATTTCAGTCTTAACAGCAGTCTGCATCAAGGTGGTGAGTACCTTCCCAGGGGTGTGTGGGAGCACCTGGTCTTCCCTCTCCCTCCCTGAAGTAGTGTAGCAGCAGCCGCCACATCTGTAGATCCCTGGTTGCTGGTCTCTCAGAATGGCACCCAGCTGAAGCTGCTATAGGCTCAGATGACTGTGGGATTCCATGTGGGTTCCCTTTCTGGAACAATATCTAAGCAATCTCACAGGTACCAGCATAGCTGCTCTGAGGCCTAAAAACAGGCAAACTCACCCCACTGCTGCCACCACCAGGGCCTGAACACTGGCTCATGTGGTGTCCAAGTCCCCAGCAAAACTTCACCACAGCCTCAACTAATAACTACACCTTAAGTCACCAAGGAAATCACAGATACCACTGACCCTGCCAAAGAAATCATGCAAAGATCACACTACTGCAGGCACCCAAAAATCAAAGCCAAAGTGTTCTACTCAACCAACAACACATGTACATCTTCAGGAAAAAATTCTTCATTATGAAGTCAATTTCAAAGAATTGGAGCAAGCAACTGTTATAACAGATGCACAGAAATCAATGGAAATACACAGGAAACATTAAAAAGCAAGGGAATATGACACAAGCAAAGGACCACAATTGTTTAGCAATGGATCCCATCAAAAAGAATTCCTCAAAATGCCATATAAAGAATTCAAAATGTTGTTTTAAAGAAGCTCAATGAAATGCAAGAGAAATCTAAGAACCAATACTAAGAAATCAGAACATCAGTTCAGGATATAAATGAAAAATTTACAAGGAGATAGATATCTTAAAAGAAACCAAAACAAACAGAAAGTCTGGAACTAAAATATTCATTGATAGAAATACATCAAAGCTGTCAAGATGTCTGGGACTACATAAAGCAAATAAACATATGCACTAATGATATTCCCAAAGAGGAAGAGAGATTTAAAAAGTTCAAAAAGCCCACTGAAGGAAATAATCAATAAATACATCCCCAGTCCAGCAAGAGAGTTAGACATCTGGATATAGGAGGCCTAATGATCCCCAAGCAATTACCTTTCAGAAAGGACTTCACCACAGCATATTATAATCAGAATGTCTAAGGTCAAAGTGAAACATAATTTTTAAATTGCAAGATGAAAGTCTCCTGTCACCTACAAAGGAAACCACATCAGACTAACAGTGAGCATCTCAGCAGAAACTATACAGGCCAGAAGAGAATGGGATGGCATTTTCAAAGTGTTGAAAGAAAACAACTGTCAGTCAAGAATTTTATATCCTACCAGAATAAGCTTCATAAGTGAAGGAGAAATTTGCTTCCCAGATAAGCAAATGCTGAGAAAATTCATCACCACTAGATCAGCCCTACAGGAAATGCTCAAAGGGATCTTAAACATGGAAACAAAAGGTCAGTATTCACCATCATGAAAACACATGAAAATATAAACTGTTACAGAACAATCACACAAACAAGGAAAAGAAAAGAATCAAATGACAACACGACAGAAGTTCATCAAACCACAAAGACAAAAAGAGAAAAATAAAGAAACAAAGAATTCATTAAACAACCAGAAAATAACTAACAATATGACAAGAATAAAGCCTCATATATCAATGTTAACTTTGAACATAAATATATTAAATGCTCCACCTAAAAGATGCAGATGGCAGGATGGATAGAAAAAAAATGATCCAACTATATGCTCTTATAAGAAACTCACCTTACCTGTAAAGACAGATACACTGAAATATCTTTTTTCACTCATTACTAAAAGTAAAAGGATAGGAAAAGATATTCCAGACAAATGGAAACCAAAAGCAAGAAGGAGTAGCTATAGTTAAATCACATAAAACAGACTTTAAACCAAAAACAGTAAAAAAAAGACAAAGAGGGTCATTAAATAATGATAAAGTGATCAATTCAGCAAGAGGATATAACAATCCTTAGTATATATGTACCCAACATTGGAGCACCTAGATTCAGAAAACAAATATGACTAGACCTAAAGAAGAGACAGACAACAATACAATAATAGTGGAGGACTTCAACATCCCACTCACAGCACTAGACAGATTATTGAGAAGAAAACATAAGAAATATTGGACTCAATTTGGATTCGATGAAATGGACTTAACAGACATTTACAGAACATTCTACTCTATAACTACGGAATCAGAATGCACATTCTTTTCAACACATGGAAAATTCTCCAAGATAGACCACATATGTTATGCCACAAAACAAATCTTAACAAATTTTTAAAAATCTAAATCACTTCAAGTATCTTCTTAGACCACAGTAGAATAAAGCTAGAAATCAATACAAAGAGAAAATCTCAAAACTATACAATTATATGGAAATTAAACAACATGCCCCTGAATGATCACTGGGTCAACAGATAAATTAAGATAGAAATTTAAAAAATTTTTGAAAAGAATAAAAATGAAACACAGCATATCAAAACCTCTGTGATATAGCAAAAGCAGTGCTAAGAAGAAAGTTGATAGTATTGAATTCCTATAGCAAAAATGTAGAAATATCACAAATTAACTACCTAACATCACATATCAAGGAACTGGAAAAACAAGAATAAACCAAATCCAAAGTTAGCAGAAAAAAAGAAAAAAGAAATAAAGATTAGAGCAAAACTATATAAAATAGAGTATAACAACAACAAAAACCAATATAAAGGATCAACAAAATGAAAAGTTGATTCTTCAAAAAGATAAATAAAATTCATAAATGACTAGTTGTACTAACCAGTAAAAGAACAGAGAAGATCCAAATAAACAAAATCAGAAATCAAAAAGGAGATGTTACAACTGATATTACAGAAATACAATGGATCATCAGGGACAATTATGAACAACTATATGTTCACAAACTAGAAAACCTAGAGGAAATGGGTAAATTCCTAGAAACATATACCCCCTTGAGATTGAACCAGGAAGAAATAGAATTCCTGAGTTCCTCAATGAGTAGCGAGATTAAATCAGTAATAAAAAGTCTCCCAACAGAAGAAAGCTCGGGACCAGATGAATTCACAGCTGAATTTTAGTACACATATAAAGAAGTACTAATAGCAATCCTGAAACTGTTCCAAAAACATAAGGAAAACGTGAGGAAAAGGGAATTCTCCCTAACTCATTCTATGAAGCCAATATCACCCTGATACCAAAACCAGACAAGGACAATAAAAAAAGAAAGCTACAGGTGAATGTCTCTGATGAACATATATATGCACAAATCCTCAACAAAATACTAGCAAATAGAATCCAATTTGATAGAATCCAAGCACCTTAAGTGGGTTTTAGGCCAGGAATGCAAGGTTGGCTAAACATATGCAAGTCAATACATGTGATATATCACATAAACAGAGTAAGAACAAAAACCATATGATCATCTCAATAGATGCAAAAAAAGCATTTAATAAAATCGATCATTCCTTCATGATAAAAGTCCTCAACAAGCTAGGCATAGAAGGAGTATATCTTAAAATAAGAAAGGCTATATATGACAAATCCACAGCCAACATCATACTGAATGGGGAAAAGTTGAAATGATTCCCTCTAAGAACTGGAACAAGTTTCAGTTCCACTTTCAACATTTTTATTGAGCATAATACTGGAAGTCATTGCCAGAGCAATCAGGGAAGAGAAAAAAATAAAAGAAATCCAAATTGGAAAAGATGAAGTCAAATGATCTCTGTTCACTGATGATACGATTTTATATCTAGAAAATCTAAATACTCCACCAAATTGCTCTTAGATTTGATAAATCAATTCAGTAAAGTTTCAGGCAACAAAATGTATAGAAATCATTAGTATTTCTATACAGTAACAGACTACCCAAGAACCAAATCAAGATGGCAATCCCATTTACATAACTACAAATAAAACTAAAATACCTAGGAATATTTCTAATCAAGGAGGAGAAAGATCTCTATAAGGAAAACTACAAAACACTGATTAAAAAAATATAGATGACACCAGCAAATGAAAAAATATCCCATGTTCATGAATTGGAAGAATTAATATTTTTCAAATGACCATATTGCCCATAGCAATCTACAGGTTCAATGCAATACCAATCAAAATACCAATCTAATTTTTTTCAGAATTAGAAAAAACAATTCTTAAGTTCAAATGTAACAAAAAAAAAAAAAAAGAGCCCAAATTGCCAAAACAATTTTGAGCAGAAAACCAAAGCTGGGAGGATCACATTGCCTGACTTCAAATTATACTATAAGGCAATAGTAACCAAACCAGCATGCTACTTGTATAAAAACAGATGCATAGATCACTATAACAGAATTGAGAATCCAGAAATAAAGCCACATACAGCCAACTGATCTTTGACAAAGTTGCCAAGAACATACACTGGGGAAAGGACACTCTTTTCAATAAATGGTGCTGGGAATATTGGAGTGTCATAAGTAGGAGAATGAAACTGGACCCCTACCTCTTACCAAATACTATACATTTTTAATTATTAAAACTAACAATTTTGTTCTCAATAATTTTAACCTTTTCTGAAAGTTAAATCAACTCAAGATGGATTAAAGACTTAAATCTAAGATCTGAAACTATAAAAAATACTAGAGGAAAATATAATAAAAACTCTTCTGGACATTGGTTTAGGCGAAGAATTCATGACAAAGACCTTAGAAACATAGGCATGAAAGCAAAAATTGACAAATGGGAGTTAATTAAACTACAAAACTTCTGCACAGCAAAAGAAATAATCAACAGAGTGAACAGAAAACCTATACAATGGAAGAAAATATTTACAAACTATGCATCAGACAGAAGACTACTATCCAGCATTTACAAGGAACTTTAACAACTCTACAGCAAGAACAAAAACCCCAATAATCCCATTAAAAACTGGGCTAAGAAAAGGAATAGACCTTTTTCAAAACAAGATAAATGGCCAATAAGCATATGAAAAATGTTCATCATCAGAGAAATGTTAATCATTAGAGAAACATAAATTAAAACCACAATGTGATATCACTTATCGCAATGTGATATCACAATCAGGCTATTATTAAAAAGACAAAAATTAACAAAGGATGTGGAGAAAAGGGAACTCTTATACATTGTTGGTGGGAATGTAAATCAGTTCAACCTCTATGGAAAACAGTATGGAGACTTCTCAAAAAACTAAAATTAAAACTATAATATGATCCAGTAATCCCACTGCTGTGTATCTACCTAAAGGAAAAGAAATCAACATATAAAAAGATAACTTCACTTGTACGTTTACCATAGCACTATTCACAATGGCAAAGATATGAAGTCAAGCTACGTGTCCATCAACATACATTTGGTAAAGGAAAGGTGGTATGTGAGAGTGTATGTGTGTGTGTGTATAATAGAATACTACTAAGTCATAAAAAATGGAGTCATGTCTTTTGCAACAACATGAATAGAACTGGAGGCTGTTATCTTAAGTGAAACAACTCAGGCACAGAAAGAGAAATACCACATGTTCTCACTTATAAGTGGTAGCTAAATAATGTGTACACATTGAAGCAGAGTGTAGAATGACAGACAATGGAGACTCAGAGGGTGAGAGAGGTGGATGAAGGGAGGTTGCTTGGCGGGTACGGTGTGTGTTGCTCCAATAATGCCCTGAGCCTTGCCCTGAAGGCTCTGACTTAACCACAATGCAATACATCAATGTAGCAAAATTGCACATGTATCCCTTGAGTATATACAAATAAAAAATAAATTTACAAAAAAATGTAAATAAAGGAAAAAAGAATCAAAGTCAAGAAAAAAGGAAGGTGAAAACTATGACTGCTTAAAGTAACTAGGGATGCATATTTTAAAATGACTTGACATATTTCAAAGGTAGTGAATATTTTATTTTTACTTTTAACATCAGTCAACTTTGATGTAAAAGACATTAAAACCACTTTTAGTGGTAGCGTTGCTCTTGTAAACTCCATTCCTAAAAATCAACTTAACTTTTTAATTTCCATATTTTAGCATCAATTTCCATCAATAAAAATTATTAAATAGAATGACAATTCCTTTTTTAAAATTTTGAAGCCAAATAATTTACTATTTGTAAAGAAATATAGATGTCTCTTTTAGAAAGATTATTAAGGTCTTAGTATTTTTAGATATTGTACATTATAAATTTTGATACCTGAAGTTCCATTTTCCAAAAGTATAATAAGTCTTTAAAATAAAACTTAAGAAACAATAATAGATTATATCTATCTCTATAAACTAAGCATCACTTTCTTGGAGAAGATATTTTTTTATTTACCACTATTTCCCAATTTACTTTTCTATGATAGTTTAGGGTTTATTTAGCACTTCTCTTACAGTGTGATTTTTGAAAGGCCAATTAAGTTTTCTATGATAGTTTATTAGCAAGGCTCCATTGACCTTTACAGTATACCCATGGTATATATTGCCACTATAAAGAATGAGTGCATATATAAACCAAAATGATCACTTCTAAAGAAAGTCCTGGAAGTGGACACCAAAGCCTTAGGTGTATTGTTTAAATTTTTTAAGAGTAGAATGTATCCATTCATTATATATGAATAATTCAAAATCAATTTAAAAAGAAAAGAAAGCTCCATACTGGGACACAGTATTATATTTTAATGTCTTTCACTAACAAATTGTTTAACTTTGAGCAAATCATTTATCCTTCTAGACTTCCTTTTCCTTTCTGAAAAGAGGGAATTTAGACCAGATCCTCTCTGAAACTCCTTACCATCCTCCAATTTTATAATTCTGTTTCAGTGAAGCAAATGAGGCTTCCGGAGATCCCAACAAGAAGCTTTGAAACTCAGGTTCATTTATAAAGGCTTCCTCAAATCTTCAAGTATAATTTGATCACTTCAACAAACAAAAAAATTGGCATCCTCCACTGTTGTGAAGAAGTTGATTTACTATTTTATTGCCACCAACACTTGTCTTTCCCCATTAAATCTTCAGTCCTCTGCCTAAACATGACTCCATCCAACTGGTATTAGAAGCTGGAGTAGTCACAGCCCCACAGCTTTGTGGTGGTCAGGCTAATTGCAGGGGCTGTAACAATACTGGTAGCTCAGTCAGCTGGGTGCTCTTCAGCACCAAGAAATCACAACCTGTATCCTTTAGCAGTGAAAAAAAATTGATTTGTTCCAGGATAGCACCATTTGAACCAAGCTGGCTGATCAAAAGTTTTTCCCTGATGCATTATTCAAAAAATTCCAAATTGCATCATAAACTCATTGATTTGGGTTATTATCCAACATTTTACATTTTTAATTATTAAAACTAACAATTTTGTTCTCAATAATTTTAACCTTTTCTGAAAGTTAAGCAATACTAGGTTAAAATAAAGATTAGAAAATATGAAACAAGTCATGATGAATAGAAAGGTGGAAAGAAAGAAATGGTGAAGCCCAAACACAATGAGTTTTAGAGAGAGCTCTGAAGAGCTGCTTAAAGTTTTGCTATTTGTGCTGGTAATCATCGTTTAAAAAAGAAAGGTGTCATAATTTAATCAATGGAAGAAATAGGCTCTTTTTTTAAAAAGCTCTCACCTTGCAGTCCTCCCAGTTTTCTTGTAGCCATGTTTCCCATTTGCTTTTTTCAAGAACTCTTTTCCTTGGAGGCAAGGCACACTCTGCCTGTCTGAACAGTAACTCTTCTTCAGAGGGGCCTAGGCAAAAGTCACAAGGTGAGATCTTGGAAGCAGATTTAGGGGGACAGGACTGACATCTTCTCTTGATATCTGGCCAGTCATTTGAAACTTCCACTTGATATTGGAATTTAGGAAAATGTGACTTGACCCGCATAGTGTGAGCAGTAACAAAATGAGATTTAACGCACTCCTGTCTGCCTAACCCGAGGGTGGGGACAGAGAAGGACCTCAGGTTTTTTACCACATTGTCCACTTCCTAATTGTTGAAAAATCACGATTCTTAAAGTTGGCTGAAAAACTTCCCTCTCATATCTTCTAAACAAAATAGATCTAAACCTCTGATTTGAAAATACTATTAATAAATATGATTCATAAGCATGGCAATAATAAATTAATCAAAAGATGATTATTAAATATCTAACCAGAATATCTAACCCCTCAATTTCCTCGTTTCTCCCCAGGCTGCAGTGAGCCTGTGGCTGTGTCTGGGGGCTTACTGCCTCGGCCCTCTCATCACAAGGTGAGTGGTGCAAAAAAGAGGAAATAGCAAACGAATCTGCAACATTATTTCTTTTTCATCTGTCTTGCTTTTTCAAAAAGTTTACAGGAAAGTGAGCACAGTTAGAAAAAAAATTAAGGTTGTAGATTATTTAAATTTAAATTGTATTTATACTATCTGCTGCCTAGATTTCTATAGACGACTGAGAGTTAGCTTTAGCTTGAATTTTCACATACAGATTTCTTTTTAAATCTAACACATCACTAGGAAACATGTGACAGTTAAAAAATACAATATCTGTGTTCTTTTAGACTACCTTAAATTTGGGGCATATATTTTGAGGTTCAGAGATAATTTGATGATTTCTAGAGCAATTAATAGGAGAGGAGAATTATGTCTATTAATGGCAGGGGAAAAAAATCAACATTTAGAATTAATTTTTAACACTATATAAGTTATTTCTAGCCCAGACAAGTGAGAAAAATCACTAGTGTAGTAACTTTAATCTTCATATAATTCCCTCTTAAGGGACTGTGAACTCACTCCTGGTTTTCTCTCTCTTTTATCTCTCAATTCAGTTCAACCTCATCCTATCAGTTTTCCCATTGAGAATATGACCCTTCCTTTTCAATGCCCAGGTCCTTATGTCTTCTTACCTAAACTGTAACTACTTTCTCTTGAATCTCCTTGCTTGTAATCTTCTTTTCTCCAAGACAAATGACCTAACCATCCCAAAACACAGCTTTTACCATAGGACTCACTGCTCAAAACATTTCAGAAATTTCTTCTTGCCTACAAATCCTAGCTTGTCAAGCACGGCATTCCACATCATTATCCCTACTGGCATTTTCAAACTAATTTCCCACTATTTTCCAACCTTATCATCCTCTAAATGAGGATGTACGAAATTTCCAGAGTTAGGGAAAGAATGTCCCGTTTCAAATCTAGAGTTGGGTTATCTAGGTAACCATGTGACTCCAGAGGACTCATTTTAATTTCCTGAGCTTCAGTTTTCCATAGCTACAAAAATATGGGGAAGACCTGAATCAAGGGCCCAACATGAGCTGAATTTAGTGACAAAACCTGTTTGTTTGACATTCATAGTGCTTCATAAAAAAACTGATTTCTAATCCTCTTAGACCAGCATATGCATTCTTATTGCCATAGGCCCCTGTACTCCCTATTGTGCTACTCCAGGCAAACTTAACTCTGTTATGATGTCAGGCAGGCCTCTGCCAGCAATCCTCCCAACTCTAACATATATTTGTAAGAGTCCTATCTGGTACCCTTTGCATGCACTTCCTCTACTCTGTTTTTCTGGAATGCATGACTCCCTCATTTCAAAGGTAAAAGAACACAGAAAAAAGACATTGAAGACATCAAAAACAAATTTGGCTTTTGTGACATGTTTGCTTTTGTGGACTATGATGGAAAGTGATGAGTTCATTTGTAAAGGATTTAGGGAAGGCAATTAGAGAAAGAGTCCAATATTTCATTATTTTGATGCTAACATCAGTTCTTTCACCAGCTGCAGATGCCCTTTCACGCATCTCTCTTATAATAGACCTCTCTATTGCCACCCAGGAAATCTTTTGACCTTGAATGTGGTAGTATCACCACAGATTTACAGATACAATATCCTCATGTTAAGAAATGATCTTCTTCATCAGTAAGGATGAGTGGAGTTAAAAATCATGGAAGTGGAAAACCTAATTGACCAGGGAGACCTCCAGGCTATATTGTTTTTCAACCCCCACCCAAATATGGTAGCTTTTTCTGTGAACTAGATATCCCAGAGTTATTAAACTCTACCCTGTATTGTTTGTCTGAGTGCTATTGATCCTCTGCTCTTTAATTATTTCTTTTTAAAGTAGTTTTCAAAGATTCCCTTGAAGTTGGAGGCCAAAGGTCACTTCCACTGTGAGGAGTTGTATTAAATTGGTTTTTTTGTTGTTGTTTACTCAGACTTGGTTCGTAATTGAAGGTATATCTTAGCAGCTGAACTACAGTCTGGAATATCTGACAGCCTAGCGATGTTGGCTTTCAACTGCTACCTCTGAGCTTGTTCTTTGTCCCCTCACTAGATTTGTAACTCCTAACAGCAGTCACTTAATTAACTTGCTGGGGTATTTTCACACAGAAAGAATCTATTCTTTCAAAGAATTCTGCCAACAGTTTACTCTTTTGCTTCATTTTTTTGGGAGAAGTTAAAGTCATTCTTGATCTGGCAATCAAAGCCTTGGGTAACTGCTGTTTATCACACATCAGATAACCTTTCCTTTCTTATGAACTCTCCCTGGATGTACAATTGAGGCAATTGAAATCAACTGAAATTAGTGTTGATGGGCATTTGAGGATCTAATCTAGAAGGAGGGTAATTCTTATCAGAATGCTTTTGAAACGCACTTGTTCTCCATCTCACAAAACAAACTTAAACAAAATTAAGAGCAATAAAGAAAAGACATCTATTTATCCATGATTTGAAGTAATAGGATTTTCCCAATGTTTTCCATCTTCTGGATCATGCTCTGTCCCTTTTATGACTAGTCACTTACAAGAGATTGGGTGTTGTTAATGATCTATGGAAGTAAAACGCATCTTTTATCTCTGCACAGCAATGATGTCTTCTGCATGAATGGCTACCGTGATCATTACACAGGATTGGTTTTGCTGAGTGATGACCTCAGCACATAACTTGGACACTTGAGTTAGGGAGGGAGGGAGACCTCTGGATCCGTTTTGTACAACCTCATTTTCAGTTTACTCTCACATTTTATTCTCTCGTCATCCGCTCCAATTTCTAAAGTTCTGCAGTTCTCCCTAAGTCTGAACCCTCCCCTTGTACTTAGAATACAATCTCTTTTTGCCTCATTATGGCTGCCACAATCATCAACCACATCCTCTTACACAAACCCACCAACATCCTTATTTTATCAATCTTCTCACTTTCTATTCAAATTTCTTCCTTCCCTCCCTCTCCTCAACCCTCTTTAACCAGTGTTTCTTACAGTATGACCCTCAGATCATCTGCAATAGAATTTCCTCTGATAATTTTTAACAAATGAAGATTTCAGGACCCTACCCCATACTATTAATAACTACATCAGATTTTTTGGAAGTAGGGCTTGGGAATCTGCAGTTTTATATACTCAGGGCACAGTAAAGTTGAAGAACCAAATTGAATCCTGCACACTTCAGCCTGTGACATGGCTCTCTCTTCCTTTTGCTAGAGGACTCCTTAGCCATGTGACACACTCAGCCTCTACTTTCTCTGGTCTCCTTCCTTCCTAATTCCCCACAATTTCTTGCTCTTTGAAAAAATATTCTCTCTAAGGTCCTCAAAGAACAAATCTAATTTATCCCTAGTAGTACTACCTATTAACATCTTAAAAATAGAAGTCAGTGCTTAGCTGCAAATAGAGTTCATAGAATTTAAGTATGAGAACATATTTTACTCAGTTTGAGAAAATGATGCCATTTCAGTCTCTTTTCCTTTGCCAACTAAGTTTGAATGAAAGAAGATAGGCATCATATGGGGAAAGTAATGCCATTGAGAAGGGAAAATGATCAGATAAATATATCTAAAGCCACTTTTTCTAAATCAATGGTACAATATGAAATATTACTGCAAGTTTGTAAATACAGATGGAAGATAGGCAAGATATTCGATGTTCAATAAAGACTAAACACTTACTGAAGTGGGAATTATAGCTAATATTATTTTGTTGGCTTATGGGGATGCAAAGAAGATGTGAGAAATGCATGGTCCCTATTCTTACAGAATTTATAGTCTATTGAAAACTGCATATTGAAATCAAACACTATATATATCAAAGACTACTGATAACAGTTTGTCATACTGTCATACTAGTACACTTGAAAAATATGATAGCCTAAAAAAGTAATAGCAAAACATAATTTATTATTCTACAGAATTTAAAATGCTGTGTGAAAATATGAAATGAGACTACCTGGTTTATTTAGTATGATGGTTAATGTTAGGTGTCAACTTGACTACATTAAGGGATAGACAGATAGCTGGTAAAACATCACTTCTGGGTATGTCTGAGGGTATTAACTTCCAGAAACATCCTCAGAGACATACCCAAAAATAATGCTTTACCAGTTTATGCCTTAATTCAGTCAGATTGACATCTAAAATGAACCATCACAGTCTATGAAGGTGTTTCTGGGAGAGATTAGCATTTGAATCAGCAGGCTGAGGAACGATTCGCCCTCATCAATGTGGGCGGATATCATCCAATCCATTGAGGCTCTCATAGAACAAAAAGGTAGAGAAAGGATGAATGTACTCTCTCTTTTGGAGCTGGGACATGCATCTTCTCCTGCCCTTGGACATGAACACTCCAAGTTTTCTGGCCTTTGGGATTTACACCTGTTCAACCACACCCTACCTCTGGTTTCTCAGGCCTTTAGTCTTCAGTCTGAGTCTGAAGGTCTGAGAATCAGGGGAGCTGAATTACACCACTGACTTCCCCAATTCTTTAGCTTGCAGACAGATATCATAGGATGTCTCTGTCTCCATAATCACGTGATTCCTATAGTAAATCTCTCTCTCACACAATATATAGATAGATATATCCTGTTAGTTCTGTTTCTCTGGAGAATCTTAACACATTCAGATAGTCTTCTGACCTTTTTGGAAGATTAATTAAATCAAATTAAAGTCATCAACCAAAGTAATTGTGTTATTCATGATCATGAAAATAGTAAACAAACTAAATTTCCAACAAGGATCATTGTTAAATACATGTAATGGTAGTCATATGATGGAAAACTATGCAACCTTTAAAAAGTATTTTTGGGTAACCATTAATGGCATGAAAGAAATACTCACACTATCACTCATTTCAAGTGAAAAAACTCAAGAAAAAAATTACATATAAAAAAGTATATATATATATATATGTTTTACAATAATAGACTAAATGGAAATAAAAGTCACAATAGTTATTTCTGTATAGTTGGTATACAGGTTCTTATATGTCTTTCTATTTTTTCCAATATTCAATATTGAACATTAATTATTTATATGTTCAGGTATAACAATATGCTTTTAAAGGTGGCTTCACTATATCAACAATTCTATGGTCTTAAAAACAATTTTTTTTTTACCTTCGGATAATATCTTTTTTTTTTCTAGTAATATATTTTAATCCACAAAAATTCTACTCAGAGCCTGTACACATAGAATACACACACTGTGTTCTTTTACCTTCTCTTACTCTTGGGCAACGCAGTTGACTTCCTTGAATGTCATGTTGTTCTATCTTGTGCCAAGTGAGGTACTTACAAGAATCTGATGGCAGCTTTAAAACAAGAGAGAAGAGAAATATCATCTGGCAACATATAATTCATTTACTTCTGTGTGTAAAAGTAATGCAAATCTATGCCAAAAATTTAGACAAATTAAACTCCAAGGAGCTCATGGTGTGCTCATAGAAGTCATCTTAGTCCAATCTAAATTATGTATTCTTGTTCAACTTTGTATTCCCAATACCTGCAACTGATTTATGTTTGATGGTAAATGACAGAGTGAATAAATATATATACCCATTTGTGGATCCACTTTACACCAGCTCTGATAAATTATCCTTTAATATTTATTGAGTATCTCATAAGGAATCTCTTTCCATTTTAGAACACTTCTAATTTTTTAAGATCTCTTCATCACCCTCCAACTTGCTCCAATTGTACAAGTTCTGCCCTTTTGAGGCCACACAAAAGAATCCCTCCACATGGGATTGGTCTTTTTTAAATGTTTAATAACAGTTGTCATCTTCTTCCTAAGTCAGTTAGTTGTTACTTACAGATCATAGTTTATAAATTATTAGATATCCTGGTAGTTATCCTTGGGAAGAGTACCAATTTATTGACACTGCTCTTAAAATATATTTCAGTATGGTAATCTTCCTTGTTCTGGAAAGGATATTACTGAAAAGAATGCATGCCAAGATCACATTTGGGGCAATTTTATATCATTCACTAATATTGAGGTTATAGGCAATCAAAATTCCCAGTATTTTATATAGCTTATGATTATTTCAAAGGTAATGCAAACAAAAGCCATATTACTTGAAATAATATTATGTTAAATACTTTTATCATAGATTCATTCCTCTGTTAACCAGTGTTATACATATATACAAACAAACAAACCCAGAATATTTGGTTTAAAAAATGTATTAAATTATTTGGAACACTGTGTTCTCACTGAGCAGCATTTCTCATGTTTTATGCTTAGCTTGAGCTACAAATTTGTGTAATTAATTCAAACACAAAGAATTTTTCCACCATTAAACTAGCTTATACCACTCTGGATTAAACCAAGTTAAGCATTTCTCTTTAGTACTGGATTTCTTAGAAACTTTAATATATGTTGATTGTAAGTCTATACTAGGAAGTGTTTCCTCCAGCTTTTAAACCATAGAAACTTTATTCTTGAAGCAATACATGCCACATGCCACTCTTCTTTAGAGCAGAATCTGGAAAAAGCTCTTCCAAAGTAAGAGGAAAAGGTGGCTTTTTAATAATAAATTAACTTTGATCTTTTAGCTTCATTACTGAGTCATTGAATCACCTTGGTTGTTCAGCAAATATCCCTATATCTTCATTTAAAAAATAGAACTAGTAACAAAAGCTCTCTACCTTATTAATAGTAATAGTAAAAAGTGAATTACTGCTTCAGCAATTCTTTGAGATATTCTGAGGATTTGCTAATGTGCTTTCAAGAAATTAGCTCATCCTTTTGAACTATTCTTTAAAAAGAAAAACCAATGAACACAAACATATTTTAGATGATTAAGGTAGCAGTCCCCAACCTTTTTGGCACCAAGGACCAGTTTCACTGAAGAAAATTTTTCCACAAATGGGAGGAAGGATGGTTTGGGGATGACTCAAGCACATTACATTCATTGTGCAGTCAAATCTTTCTGCTAATGATAATCTGTATTTGCAGCCACTCCCAGCACTAGCATCACCACCTCAGCTCCACCTCAGACTATCAGGCATTAGATTCTCATAAGGGGTGCACAACCTAGATCCCTTCCATGCTCAGTTCACAGTAGGTTTCGTCCTCCTATGAGAATCCAATGTCACCACTGATCTAATAGGAGCTTATGCAGTCATGCCAGCAATGGGGAGCGGCTGTAAATACAAATGAAGCTTTGCCCACTGGGCTGCCTGCTGTGCAGCCCCATTCCTAACAGGCCACCACTGGTACTGGTCCATGGCCTGGGGGGACTGCAGTATTAAGGACCTAGCCCCCAACCTATTCTTGTTTATTGCATGTTTATGGAAGCTTCTTTCCCAACATGTTATCTGCTTTTGGAATTTTTTCTTTCTTGCTTATATCACAGAATAAAAATTTCTTGTAGGTTAAATTCCATGAGGCTGCCACACCCACTGCCTCTTTGCGTGGGGGAAAAATAATCTAAGCTCAAGCTGTATTTGAAAGGAAAGTTTCCATTTTATGCTTGACATCTAATTTTGTACAAAAACTTGTTTGTTTTTTAAAGGAGTTAAGTGGTAGATTTTGGAACTTCTGACATTGTAGGAAAATGAGATGTTGCATTTTTTTGTTTATTTCTATGTAAGGTTGTAATATGGTGTAGTTGTATGACTTGTTTCTTCCTAAAGGAATAGTGAATATTTTTCTTGCCCTGTTCTTTTTCCCTTTGTAATTCTGATGGATCAGTTGATTAATGCATTGGTTCAACAAATATTTTTTGAAGCTAGTATGCTTCATTTCATTTTATTCATTCATTCAAAAATATATATTGCACCACTGTTATGTGTCAGGTATTCTGCTGGGCATTGGGGACACAAAGTTGAATAAAATATGATAACTGTGTTTGAAAACTTATTTTTTATAAGGTGAGAGGCAGACATGAATAACTCATCTTAATCCAGTTGAATAGGTGGAAAAAATAGGAATGAAGGAAGGGAAGGAAAGGCATGCATTATTCTACTGAGATGGGTTAGAGAAAATGTCTTAGAAGTGGTGACTTTCAGAGAAAAAACTTTTATCTTGTGGACAAAGTACATTACAAAGAGAAAAGAAAATAAATCTTAGACTAGAGACAAAATTTAAACTCAGCAGGAGAAAGGAAGAGATGTCATTTTGGTTCTTGTGGTCTTTATCTTTTCTACTCCTCTTCTCCTTGTTTGATCTTCCTTCCTCCTCCCCAGCTTCTTTGTTTTACTCTCTGGATCAGGACTGAGAGTATCAACTCCTCCTCCCCCCACAATTACATGGGTAGGTTTAAGAAGCTCATATATTTATTTTAAAATGTTAGATATAAGATAAAATATATTTGATAAATTTATCATTTGGTAAAGGGCTAATTAAAAATATTTACCAGGGACGATATTCCAGAGTCCAAACGTGGATGAAATGTTCTTCTGCTCCTTGACAGAGCTGACTGAGTATGGGTCTCACTTGCATTGGAGTAGTATGATGAATTAGACGGACAAATATCTTGACTACTTGTGTTTTGACCTGAGGAACTAAGGGAAAGAAAATACTTTAAATGTTCATAAATATCTTTTAAAGGCTTTAAATGTAAATACCCTTGTTCAAAAAACAACAGCACATTATTAGCACAAACTTTTCCCTTTAAAGAGAAGTAAATGATACCCTAGATTTTACCTAGATCTTGGAAGGACTTTTACATTTTGCATAGTCCTAAGCATAGTTTTATGCCTAACAGCTACTTAGGACAAATTCCTCTCAAAGGTAAGGGCATCCACATAGACTGTGTGTCTTAGGAAAAGAAATCTAATAGTACACACAAATACACAAACACTTATAACATCTTAAGGAGTCCAGCCTTCATATTGGAATATCATTCTCAGTGGAACCACAGCTGCAGATTTGGCACATACAAATGTCCTTAAACTCTCCATGGGTCCCCCCATGAATATGGGCCTTAAATTTGCCCTGAAATTTACCCAAAACCTCTTATATTTCCTCAAGTTGGTGGCAAACAAATTAAAACATCAGATTAATTAATTTTAGTCACTTTTAAATACTACTTGACCATTTCTCTTAAAAACAGTTCAATTCTCACTGAATTTCTATTTTATATCACTGAAATGTAAAACATCATTTCTTTGCTCCTATACTGATTCTCTGGATTAGTAGACATTGTTATTCTTATAATTTTCCCTTTCTCTTTGGCAATAGTTATGTTTCTCTTTTTGAAATTGATGCTATATATTATTTTAAGCCAATAGTTTTAAAACAATATCTAAATATGCTTTTTTGTGTTAAGTGAATAATAAAATGTGGTATAGTACATCATGGAGTTCTACTCAGCCACAAAAAACAATAGTGATCTAGTGCCTCTTGTATTATTCTGGATAGAGCTGGAGCCCATACTAAGTGAAGTATCATAAAAATGGAAAAACAAAAACCACATGTACTCACCATAAAATTGGTTTTAATTGATCAACACTTAACTGCACATATAGTAAAAACATTCACTGGGTTTCGGGCAGATGGGAGGAGGGAGGAAGGGATGGGTGTATCCACCTAATGGGTGCGGTGTGCACCATCTGGGAGATAGACACGCTTAAAGCTCTGACTCAGGTGGGGCAAAGGCAATATACGTAACCTAAACATTTGTACTCAGTAATATCCTGAAATAAAACATAAATAAATAAAAAGAAACTAAATTTTGTGGCACAGTTATGCCTCTATAGCAATTTTGCTTGCAAGAAGCTATACATTTCTTGTATATTGAGATGACCTTCATGAAGTACAATATAGAAATAGTTTTCATTTTTCTCCTATGAACTGAGCTAGTACAGCAGAAGAGCATAGCCATATATTCTAAAATATCCTGAACTAAAAAAAAATAGGGCATTATTGTTGGCTTATTTTTTTTAATGGCACAATAATGCTATTCTTAGAATATGGTGCTTTTTTAAAAGAATATAATGCTATTTTAGAATATAATGGCTATTCTCTTCTGCTGTACGAGCTCAGGTAATAGAAAAATGAAAGATATTTCTATATTGTACTTAATGAAGGTAATCTCAATATACAAGAAGTTTCTTGTAAGCAGAATTGCTATAGAGGCATAACTGTGCTATAAAATATAGTTTCTTTTTATTTATTTATTTTTTTATGTTTTATTTCAGGATATTACTGGGTACAAATGTTTACGTTACGTATATTGCCTTTGCCCCACCCAAGTCAGAACTTCCTTCAACCGTGTCCATCCCCCAGACGGTGCACACCGCACCCATTAAGTGTGAATATACCCATCCCCTCCTCTTCTTCCACCTGCCTGACACCTGTTATTAAGGAGAAAAGTATTTTCTCATTTGCCACTAAATTAAAAAATCAAGAATTTGGTTATGTGAAAAGGTCAGAAACTATATGCCTCTCATTTCTTTTCCACTGAATTTTTTGGTTCATTTGTCTCTATTAAAATAATGCTAGCCAAAATTTTTTGCCAAAATAAAATTGGGAAAGTAAGGATAATGAACATGGCTAAATCTTTCTTCAGTGACTAGTGTACTGTGATTCCAGACTCCTGCGATGGTCATACAATGAGGGGTTGGGTTGATAGAATAACCTGGAAGGCTCCCTCCCTCTTGTTTTTTAATCTGAAGTATGAAGAATGGTCTCATTCTACTTATATTATAAAATCTCCCTAAAGTAGGGCACTGAAAAAAAAAGTGCCCTACTTTTTTAAAAAATGTGATAAGAAAGATCCAGTTGATTGGGTTTTTTCCATAATTAAAAAATGTGATAAGAAAGATCCAGTTGATTGGGTTTTTACTGTGCCTTTTTTTGTTTGTTTGTTTTTTTAGACAGAGTCTCACTTTGGTGCCTGGGCTAGAGTGCCGTGGCGTCAGCCTAGCTCACAACAACCTCACAACTCCTGGGCTGAAGCATCCTCCTGCCTCAGCCTCCCAAGTAGCTACGACTACAGGCATCCACTACCATGCCCAGCTAATTTTATATATATATATTTTAGTGGGCCAATTAATTTCTTTCTATTTTTAGTAGAGATAAGGTTTCCCTCTTGCTCAGGCTGGTCTCGAAATCCTGTGCTCAAAGGATCTGCCCACCTCGGCCTCCCAGAGTGCTAGGATTACAGGTGTGAGCCACCGCACCCGGCTACTGTGCCTTCTTGTGTAGTGCTGTAAGACAAAGCACATCAGCTGCAAAGTGAAATTAAGTTTAAAAGTAAGTGAAAATTATCTCTTCATCTTAGTTTACATTAGATATTTTTCTGTCTTAAACTAGAACTTTTTATGGTAGTATCCTGATGATGACTAGGCATTTATTAATAATAGAAAGTAATTAAAACTTCGTTAATGCAAGCAAGTAGGCAGTTAACATCCCTACCATCTCTCTCTCTCCTCCTCATTCTCTCTCTCTCTTTCCTTCCTTCCTTCCTTCCTTCCTTCTCCTTCCTTCCTCCTTCCTTCTTCCTTCCTTCCTTCCTTTCCTCTTCTTCTTCTTCTTTCTTTCTCTTCTTTCTTTCTTTCTTTCTTCTTTCTTTCTTTCTTCTTTGTTTTCGTCTTCCTCCACCTGTTTCATTTTTTTTTCCTTTTTTTTCAGAATGAATTGAAAAATAAGTTCAAGAATGGTCAAGAGTTTCACCTATGACCACTCTGGTTGGCTTTGAGTATAAAATTCTTTTAGTCCCTGAATCTGGATTTCTTCCTGCACATTCTTCTATTACTCTGGGCACCACACCAGGGTGTAGCAAAAAGGGCAGTGTGCTGGGAGGACCTTGTGTTAAAAACCTCTGGGACATTCTCAAAGTCTTCTTTGTTCTGTTACTTCTATCATAAATTTCATATGGAATTTTTCTTCAGTCTGCTTTTTATTTTGACAAATCTCAGCAAAACAAGATCATTTCTGATCCTTCAGTTTAAAAAGGAAAAGGAAAACTGGGGCATCTTCCAGGTTATATAACAAACCCAATCTCCTGCTTCATCTACAACCGCCTTAATGTGCACATCCCTGAAGTCGAAATTGCAAGACCTGCCAGTCCTAAGAATCTGAGCAACAGCTACTGCTGTGACCCTGGACAAGGCATTTAGCATCTCTGATTCTCAGTTCCTTGTCTTTAATACTTACAAGATGATGTGGACTCTGCCTCAGTGATAGGGCTTTTGTCATTGTTGTTTTGTTTCATAACATTACTGCTATGATTACTACTACTACTATTACTAAAATAACAATTTTATAGTTAACATTAATTGCACACTTGCCATGTGAGGCACTTTACTAACAGCTTTACATAGATTAACTCATTTAATCATTCCAGTCACCTAATGAGGTGGGTAACATTATTATTTCAATTTATACATGAGGACATTGAGGCATAGAGAGATGAGGTAATTTTCCCAAGTTATACTAGTAAATGACTAAGTGTTCTTAACCACTAGGATTCAAATAAGATGCAGATAACTACTGTGATTCCTTAATAACTGTGGAGCCCTATCATTATTAGGATGTAGTTATTATTAAGGAAAATCATTAATATTTATTTTTCTTATTCTGATTGCTCCACTTAACTGTGTATGAATAATTATAATAGTTAATAGAACATGTAAATCTGTGCAGTTATTATTTACTAAAAGCAAAAGTCTTCAGTAGTAGAAGCTATGAGAACACCATTCCAGATAATATCAAGATGTTTTTAAAACTCTCCTACCAAAAGAAAATAAAACCAGACACATGCAGTTTAGTTGGTATATTGGTTTACTTGTTTTTAATCTTTCTGCCTGCAGTGAACAAACAGTTATCATAAATTACAAATCTAAACCTTTATGAAAGAGAAATTAATATTATTAATGTTCTAATATAAAGCTGCCATGGAGAAGGTGCCATGGCTAAAACTGTACAGTCTCTGCCAGCCATGATTTATAGTGTCTTTAAAATAGGTGACATTATCTGAATTGGCCATCTATTCTTGGTTTAAAAAAGAGGAGAATGGCTAACAAGAAGGAATCAGGTGAGCTGAGATTGCTGGATGAAAAACAACAATAATATAACTAATCAATTCATGAGCCCCTTTCATCAGAAGATCACAATGTCCTTTACCATCATGAATTTATAAGCCTCATAAATTGTCTGCAGCAACGGGTGCTATCTGTTTAATTAAAATGTCAAGTTGGCGATTATGTAACTTTGTAAGGCAAGTGAAGGAGGAAAAGGCAGGTGACCTAGTTTCTGAGGAAGAGTTGAGCTCTTCGATTGAATGAAACTATGTTGGGCACACATCGTACAGAAGGCGAGGGAGCTCCTTTAACACACAGTGTTGTCAAAATAGTATTGAATATGACTCAATTTCTAAACATCCCATTTATATTCATTGCTTCATCATGAAAGCTTTGTATTTAGGAAGAAGGAAGGATAGAATTCTCAATCATATTTTTCACTTAGCAAAGGGCAAACTCTCCCCAAACTCTCAATCTCCTCCTTCCCTCAACAAGAACAAAAAATACTGAGTTAGGTTCTCAAATCCAGTGGGATCTTGCTAAAACCAGTTACCACGGGCCAGAGGAAAATTACCATGAACTCTAGAGCATTAAATTTGGATGAAAGGAGATAAAAATTCAGTCTCTTTGATTTCTTAGATCATTCTGATTTAATTTTTTAAAACCAAGAATTCCTGTCCTCTGGATGCCTATATTTTTATTCGTTTGTAAAATGAGTGATGACTGTGCTACCTACGTGCTAGAGATGGTAATGAGAGCATGGAAAGTACGTTCAGTGGAGTTCTTGTAAATTCAAGAAGAAATCTGATATTAGAACTTGTTAATTTCTGAGATGGCAAATTAGGTATGCCAAATTTTTAAACTTGAAGATTATTGCTACTTTCTGATAGCTCTAAATTAAGTAAATTGAGTAAATAAAAAGTATCAATGAGCTGTTTTGAAAAGCTATGTGTTTTAGAGATATTCCAAAAGACATTTCAATTATCCCAAAGCCTAGGATTTCAACAAATGTATCTTAATTTATTTAGATTATTGATTCTAAAACTATACAACAATAAATTTTAATTTTGAAAATATACAGCTACAATTGTTTTTTCTCTACTTCAATCTGAACAAGCCAGGTTTTAATTTTATGTGACCCAATTTTTATTCTTATAAGTTTTGCGGGTCTATATTACTCCAGACCCATGCACATTCTTATAAACATTTATAGTCCCTCAAATTAAGCTACAACAAAAGTAAAAGAAAAGCACCTATAATAGTGCTCCAGAGGGAAAGCCTATAAACGCCGATAGCAACCAGTGGGTTCACTGACATTTATAGAAGCAAAAAATATATTCAAATACCAGAAACAGTGAAGATAGAGGGACTGAAATATTTCTATGTTCCTTCCACAAAATTATATTTAGAAAATTTTAAAACTTTCTTGTAACAACCTAGATATCTGATGCTTAGGTGGTTTTCAATACTTGGGGAACATCTACTACTCTCTGTGTTACAACTTTGAAAATTTAACCACATCCAACACTACAAGAGAAAAGAATATAGACACTAAAAGATAATGTGTGATTGAGGTAGAACTTTCAAGCAGAGATAAAACTATGAAAGGCCAAATGAAATGAACTATTTTCGGAAGGTGGTATGACTAAGATCCTTGTTTCATGATGTGCAGAAATGTGATTGAAAAAATAGAGACACTAAAGAAGCTTTACTTTTCTCCTTCCCTCCCTCTTTTCTTTTTCTCCCCTTCCCTCCCTCCCTCCCTCCCTCCCTCCCTTCCTTCCTTCCTTCCTTCCTTCCTTCCTTCCTTCCTTCCTTCCTTCCTTCCTTCCTTCCTTCCTTCTTTCCTTTTCCTTTCACAATTTGAAAATTAAATTTTAAGTTGTATCCTGGGTATCACCTTTTATACTGTCTCTAAAATCATTTTATAAAAATTTAATGCTTAAAAATAACAATACTGATAGTAAGGATCATTTTATACAGAATTCACAAATGCATCTCCTCTTGTTATAGTGTGTTAAAGAATTTTAGCAAGTAGGGAAAAAATGAAGTTTGTAATTCTGCACAGAACTTCTAGCCATTTAAAAACTACTGTTTCACATGCCAATTTCTTCAAATTATTACATATTTAATTGTTAACATTAAAATCAAATACTTGACATTGCTTGAGATGTACACAGGTGGCTAACAAAAATAGAACTTCTATCACTCCTTTGATCTCTAATCCCCTACCTAAGCATGATTCTTCTCTTAACAGGCAGGAAAAGGAAGCTATAGATAAGTTTCATACACTTTTATGAAATTACAATGCACTTACTCCTAAAAATTGAAGGTGCAAATCTCATTATTTTAAAAATGAAAGCCAGGTTATACACCAATATGAAGACAAAAAATTCAAGAAATCTGTAAACCACCTAATTGTGTACTATTTAATTATCAGCATGTTTTGGAAAACACGGACAGCTACAAAATTTAGGAGTGAGGAAACAAGGTTTGGGTTTTGGCCTCTGTTTAATCTGATTTGTGGCTTTAATAAGAGAGTATAAATCTTGTTTTTGTGATAGTAATTTCATTTAAACTTAAACACTACTAGATATTACCTTTTGGTTGTCTTGTCTATTTCCCCCCCTGAAATTTGCACCTGCTTTCTTTAAGAGTCTTCTGTTTCTACAGACATTATTAAAAGTGTAAGTCCACCTCTCTCTGTTACAACCATGATCACAGGAACTGCATTGCATTTGTAACCAGTTGCATAGTATTAGGGGAGAGGGTGGTAGTTGAGTTTGCTTCTCTCTTAGAGCAATAGTCATTAGTAAGACAGGTTGCATGACTTTACATGTTTAAATGAAATTTGATCTGGTAACACTATCTATGTTTGTTTTTTTCTCTCAAGTTATGACTAAGGTTACTTTTAATTTCATTTTCCTACCTTTCAGACATGTCTTGCGGGTGCAAAAAGTTCCTCTCGCCTTCATAAAGCTATTTTTCTGAAGACATTTTCATCATATTCTCTGGATGGAATTCGAGAGCAGTCCGCCAAGAATCTGCAGCCTCTTTTGGGGGTCTTCCATGGATTCACTGTGACCAAGGAAACAAGCCGTTACCTAGCAACATGGCCCTTTAGGAGGTATTGTTACCAATCTCTTAGAGCTCATCAAAGGAATTCCTGTGCTCCTGGAACAGCTTTAACAGTGAACATTGTTTCCAGGGAGTTGTCTAAACTGTGGTATAACTGATCCTTGACTACAGAAACATAATGGTAGCAGAGGGAGTAAATATCTATAACAACCCTGGAAAGTTTGCTGTCTTCAGGTCCATTGTTTCTTGAATTATTTGCATCTGGCTTGGGTTTTGTTGAAGTGGTATTTGTTCAATATGTACTTTGGTATTTAGTTTCTTCTCTTCTGTAGTTTTAGAACTAGCAGAAGCAGCAAAAGGGAAGATATCTAATTCTTACTTGAACTCTGTTCAAATTAAACTCCTCTGAATTGAAGACCAGGAATTTTACCTTGTTCATAACAAGAAAATATATAAAATACGCATTTTATAATTTATATTAAAATATATAAGAATACATTTTATATATTTATATAAAAATGATAGATTTTTTATTTCAAAACAAATTTTTCCAACTTTTCTCAGAAAAGAGAGATAATATCATATTATATTGTATAACTCATTGATCCAACAAGTCTGCTCAGAGTGTCTACTATGTGCAGAGATAACACTATGAATTTTTAACTTCATGAGCCGATAAAATAAATCTTCACTAAACCTGCAGCTTCTATGTTTCCTTTCCCAAAACAGAGAAATGTTAGCTGTGGTTTTGAGGACTGAGAAGTTGCTATTTGCCAAAAGCATAGGAAACTCTTCCATAGTCTTTACTGCTTCAGAGAACAAGATAGTTGGGAAACCATTTTACTCAAAATCTAGTCCCAAAATAAGATAATTGGCATATCTTGGAAAAAGCACTATGTTTTCATTTTTATTTTTTTTCTGCACACTAGTAATCCATCTATAGACTAAAGAGACTGGGCACGGTGGCTCATGCCTATAACCCTAGCACTCTGGGAGGCCCAGGCGGGAGGATTGCTCAAGGTCAGGAGTTCGAAACCAGCCTGAGCAAGAGCAAGACCCCGTCTCTACTATAAAGAGAAAGAAATTAATTGGCCAACTAATATGCATATATATATATATATATATATATGTATATATATATGTATATAAAATTAGCCAGGCATGGTGGCACATGCCTATGGTGCCAGCTACTTGGGAGGCTGAGGCAGCAGGATTGCTTGAGCCCATGAGTTTGAGGTTGCTGTGAGCTAGGTTGACGCCACAGCGCTCACTCTAGCCAGGGCAACAAAGTGAGATTCTGTCTCAAAGAAAGAAAGAAAGAAAGAAAGAAAGAAAGAAAGAAAGAAAGAAAGAAAGAAAGAAAGAAAGAAAGAAAGAGAGAGAGAGAGAAAGCTTCAGTAACCTTATGAATGTGTTTCATATCAAAAGATTAAAAATATATTCTCCTTTGCATTAAGTTTCTGTCAGAACTTCAGTTTTACATACAAAATGCTTCAGGCTGAAACTTAGCATAAAATCTTCTATGCTAAAAATATAATTTATTTGCTAAAGATCCATAAAATTGATTTGTTTATATGAAAGTTAGTATAATTTAAAAATATCAAATACCTGAAATATTATATCTAAATTTTCTGCATATTTTTCCAATGATAGGGGTAGAGATGACAAATGTCAGACTTGTTTTAAAGCATCTTTTCTAAGGATTCTAGGAATTTCCCCAAGTCCAAAAATTCTAGACCAGCATTATCCAAAAATGGATTAGATAAAATAATCAAAACACAACTGCTCTTAATTTACCTTTTTAGCTTTATAGCCCACAACTGCTCCATACCCCCACCTGCTTCAGGGAATAGCTATGTTAATACTCCAGTGCCTCAAGTCTGACTTTGCTTAGAATCATCTTAGTTGCCTTAAAAAAAATCCAACAGTCAGGCCCTTCCTCAACCGAACAAATATCCGAATGTGGCTGGGCCCAGTCATCATAATGTTTTGAAAGGTTCCTGTCATACCCCTTCTACACCTCACTCACCTGTACCTACATCTGTGGAGCAGAACATGGTTCAAGAAAACACACGGCCAGGCTGACTGGTCTCCAACATGTACAACCACCCTCCTCGAAGTGTTGGCTGGCAATCACACTAGGTTCCCAGAACTGTTCTCCCCCACCCTACGACCACCCTGCAGTCTCTCCCTTGTTTTCTGACTTACGCGATCTCTGCCCCATCCTTACTCTCACTTGAGCAATCAGAAAAGAATTTCTATACAGTACCATCCTTCATTACCCACCTACTCACACCTGTCTGCCCATTTACTCCGCTTTCTTCTCTTTCACAAGGAGGCCTTATCAGTGCACCTGTCTTCGTTTGTGGACTAGATCCTAACCTTTCAGAGCTACTCAGAGCCATTGATCCAGAAAGTCTCTGCCTTCTGCATCATTAATTTGTCCTCTCCACTGGATTATTCCCATAAGGATATAAACATGTTATAATTTTTCCCATTTAAAACAAAAACAAAAAAGTCTCTTTGGCCCACTTCTCCCTGCAGCTTCCATTCCAATAAATTGCTTTACATTTCTTGTAGCACATAAGAAAAGCAGTAAATGTGTCGTCTGTGCTTGCTCCTTCCAATTCTCCTCTTTCCAGTCTTTCTTGAACTGACTCCAATGTTTTCACTCCTCTGTTTCACTGGAACTACATTGGGCAAGATTGTTAATGATTTTGAAGTGGCTACATTCAGTGGTCAATTCCTAGTCCTCATTTCTTGATCTATCCCCTGCATTTGAAATGCCAATTTACTCTCTCCTCCCAGAATCCTCTTCATCTGGCTTTTTAGGACTTCACATTCCACTGGTTTTCCTTACTTCATATTCTCTTTTCCTGTTCCCTAACCATGCATCCCCCTAGTCTCTTAATACTGGTTTGCCCAGAGCTCAGCCTTGAGACTCCTTTCTTTCTTAACTCACTCTATTGATGATCTTAGCCTGTCTCGTGGTTTTAAAAACCATCTATATGCTAATGACTCCAAAATTTATGATTACAGCCTAGACCTCTCTCTTGCTTTCTTGAATCCCAGACTCATATATTTACCTGCCTACTTGAAATTCCTCTTGGATGTCTTATATGCATCTCAATTTTAATATTCCAGAAGTAAACTTCTAAACCTCCTGTGCAAAACAGCTGCTTTCATATACTCCTTCTATGTAAGACAAAAATCAAGGAATTATCCTCAGTTGTTCTCTTTCTCTCTAATCTCATATTCAATCCCTCAAGACATCGTATGAGCTCTTCTTTCAAAATATATTCAGAATCTGACCACCCTCACATCCTCCACAGCTATTAGCTTGGTATGAGACCATACATTTATTAGTGTCATTACAACGGTTGCTTTATTGGTCTCCTGCTTCAGGCCATACCTCCCTACAGCCTACCCTTCAACACAACACCCAGAGTGACTTGTTAAATTACAAGTCACTCTTCTGATCAATGTACTTCAATGGTTACCTATTTCACAAAGAAAGAATTAGCATACTTAGAATGGACTACAAGGCACTGATATATCTGATTTAAGAAAAAAAGTAATATCAAAAACTGTAAGCTACTTTTGAAACATCCACAGAACAATCTAGATTTAAAAATTGACTAAAATTTCTTCACAACTTACAAATCGACCAACGTCACTTATGAAAAGCTAAGCAGTTGGTACCTGCTCTTAGAGGATTAACTTTAAAAAAATACTACTTTGTTTCTCTTAAGCTGTAGGATCAGTTAAAATAAGGAGTATCCCAAATTTGGAATGTGAGCTGTATTTTCAAACAAAGGCTTCCATTTACAAGTACTTTTCTATGTAATGGAGTATTTTCTCAACATTGTGATATTAAAACAAAATTTAGAACTTGTTGGGTAGCTTAAGATAATGGCAGTGGTCTACCTACCAGCCTCTTAATAGTTCTTTCATAAATGATACAAAACAAAAAAGAGGAGAAAAGTATGTCTACAGAAAAACCATGTACTCAGTATATCTTGAGAACCAAGACTAGTAAAACCTCAAATTAACTGAATGTAAAAGTTCAGTTTGTCTCTCATGTGCCAGCGCCAGCCTCATCCCACAGCAAAGCAACCAAGGAAATGTGTGGGGAGGATAGGAAAGAAAAGAGGCCTAGAGTTGATCTAAAACTATTACCAGAAGGCAGTCAACTGTAAATCAGAAGTACTGTAAAAGGGTTTGGGCAAGTCAGAGCAAGGACTACAGGGAAGAGGCTTCAAAGTATGCAAGATGTAAAAGCACAGATATAATGTAATGGGGCCATGTTTGAATCACATAGCTTCTGGGAGAGAAAAAAGGCAAAAAGGAAATGAGAAGTGCCCTTGGCAGCTGAAAGGCTGTGATTGTTAATTATAACTGTCAACTCGAATGTATTAAGAGATACTTAGAGAATTGCTACAGCTTTGTCTCTGGGTGTGTCTATGAGGGTGTTTCTAAAGGAGTTTGGCATGTGACTTGGTGGAGTGTGAGTTGGGGAAGATCTGCCTTCAATGTGGGTGCACACCATCTGATCAGTTGGGGGGTCAGGATGGGAAACAAAGGCAGAGGAAAGGTGAATTCTTCTCGCTCTCTGCTGGAATTTCTCCCTCCCCTTGTTTGGGGGATGTCAGAGAGGGGGCCACTCTTCTGCCCTTGGAGATCAGAACTCCAGGCTATCTGGTCTTTGCACTCTAGGACTTTCACCAATGGCCCCCCTGGGTTCTTAGGCCTTTGGCCTCAGACTGAAAATCACACCATTGGCTTTTCTGGTTCTGAGGCCTTCGGACTTGGACTGAGCCATGCAACCAGCATCCCAGGGTCTTTAGCTTGCAAACACTCTGTCATAAGACTTTTCAGCCTCCACAATCATCACTTGAGCCAATAAATCTGCTCCTATATATCTATATTTATATCTATATACCATTGGTTCCATTTTTCTGGAGAGCCCTGCCTAATACATAGATGAAAAGGAAAAGAAAAAGGGAAATCAAAGGTCTTGCAAGGCAAAGTAGAATAAACTAGATGAAAGGAT